GTAGTAGTAGTAGTAGTAGTAGTAGTAGTAGTAGTAGTAGTAGTAGTAGTAGTGTCCTTATCTTCATCATTATTATCGTTATTATCATTGTTATTATCAATTGCGTTGACCGGGACGTAAAGCTCCTGCAGTCAAAGTTTGGGGGGCTGTATATATTATTATTTGAGCTGCAGAGCATAGGCCTAGCCTATTGTGTTCATGCTTTACCTACGTTCATTTTTGGAAAATCTAAAACAGCGCAAGTCGCATTCTTAATTATGAAGTGTGCTGACAAAATGAGTTACTTCTCGCAGTCTACGAATGGGGATAGGGACAAAAACACAACACAGGGGTCAAATTTGTAGATCGTTAACGGATGCGATTTTCTTCAAGTTTAACATTTCTTTTATCTTGTTATACACATGCATTGTATAAAGTCAGCCAATAAATTTGATGTAACGATATCCATTGGGCTAAAATCTGAGAAGCAACCCATTTTGTCAGCACGCCTCACATAATTATCAATTATTCATTGTCATAATTCTTTTTATTTGTTCGTTTCCTCTCAGCCCTGTGCTTCAGTGTGGCGCTGGCAGACATGATGTACCACCGACAGAGGTAATTTGGAACATTTTCCGATATTTGCAAACTTTAGTGATCATTGTTAGTTAAACGTTGTTGTTGTTGTTGTTGTTGTTGTTGTTGTTGTTGTTGTTGTTGTTGTTGCCTTCTGGCCTTTTTTCTACCCCTACCCCTCCCTCATCTTTCTAATCATGCTCAGAATAAGTATGTGAGGGGGGTGGGCGGGACCTACGACCCTTATTCCACTTCTATGTACCCGACCGTTTCAGAATAAGGATTCCGGCCTCCTGAATGGTCTAAATTGTATAGATGAGGGAGTAACAACAACAATTACTCACTTACTTACTAGCCATTACGCCATCTGGCGTTTAGGGCAGCAGCAAAGGATCTCCAGCACTCTACTGTGTGTCTCCAGGTCACATTGAGTCTGCCCCTCTTGCGATGTCCTTCGGGTGTCCAGTGGAGGGCAGACTTTACAATAGATTCTGGTTCTCTTCTCAGAACATTCCCAATCCATCTCCATCTTCTCCTTGTTATTATGGTAACAACAATTACTTTATCTTTAACTGTTTGATTTTAAAAAAAAGAGGTATAAGAATTGTTAAATTAAAGGATCT